GAAGGATCGTATTCCAGCACAAACTGGAGAACGTTTTTCGCCTTCAGACGCAGTCCAACAGTTCCATCTTGCCGCCACTCCCCGAATTTCCTGTGGTCTAAAACAGCTCCCATCTCGAGTGGGTTATGTAAGCCTATCCTTAGCCTTCCTTGTTCGTAGGGCTCTTGCTCTCCCTGGCCGACACCCAGTTGCAACTTGAATTCTGGCAAGTATTTATTGATCTTCGATTCGATTTCCCAGAAGTCTTGATATTTCTTCGAACTCCCACCCAACAAAAAGGCACCTGATTCATCCCATGAGTAAATACCACCTCTATAGGCATATCCCCAGTCATCATCTGATGTAGAGATATCCAGTGCAAAATCATATGCTTCTTCTGTCGTATTAAGGGCAGTTGACAAATGCAGTTCCTCCCAGGACTCCTTGGTAAGGCTCCAGTATTTGACTGAATAATCACCTAGCCTTACAGAGGGTGTGTTCATAACTTTGGTATCAATCACTGCCAAAAGTCCAGATGACAGCTGAGATATGTTGCCTGTAAAGTGTTGTTTTCCATCATCCATGACAGGATACATATCAAAGGCCAAAGTGATATTCATTTCTGGAATGTTTTTGTCAAGGAATTCAGCCATGCCAGAAACGGTGAAGTCCTCGTACTGGGTAATGTTGCCCTCAAAGATAATGTCTTTGATATCTGGATGCATGAAAACAATCTTCATGTGATGTTCCCCTTGTCCAAATATTGTATTGTCATTGTAATTGACCATAAAATTCATAGCTCCAACCTCTTCAGCAAGTTCATTCCAGGTAAATTTTGACTGTAGAGCAACATCTTTTGAGCCACAAAGTGCAAACATGTTCCAGTGTAAAGTCTGCCCAGGCAGCATCACCTCAATATTGCCATTATATTCGTCCTTTAAGATTCCAGGATGTGCCTCGAAGGTGGATCTGTAACCAAGTCTGTTCTTGTTAAGTTCAAAGATCAGGCTTTCGTTGAAGTGATAGTAATTTAAGGACAAGGTACCCTCGGCATAGAAGCTATTTTCGGCAGCATCACCAGAAAGGGAGATATGATGACCTCCCTCTAAGGACTCTTGACGAATGTGGAATCCGTAATTTTCAAAGTCTGGATCTGGGCCCAGAGATACACCCACCTTCATACGGCATTCGTTAACTTTTCCAGAATTTTGCAAGTTAACCACTAAAAAGACTGGGAAACTTTTGGGCGTTGTAAGAGCAAATATATTTTCTTTTCCTTTAGCTATCTGCAATTTGATTAATTCCTCTAAATCAGTTTTCAAAATAAATATATCCATTTCATTAACAACTCTGACGAGCTGCATATCTAGTGTGTGTATACTTAAAATATCTATGGATTCAAATTCGAGATGTAATTCTATTCCATATCTTTTCGAACTATGTCTATCTATTACGTAGCCTTGAACACTCATCTCATTCAGCCGCAAGACCATTTCTATGCATGTAAAGGGATTTTGAGGCAAGATCTGAAAAGACACTGTGAAGCCAACTTTACCAACTCGTGCTTCTACTATCCGATGATTCCCATCTACTATATTATATTGGAAAGCTATGATGTCATACTTTTCCAGAGGTAGGGATACGACTAACTTGGTACTATAAAATGATCTATACACAGCTTCTACACCCAGTTTCCCACCTGGATGTTCTATCATTGCAACAAAGGCTAAGTCACCTCTAGGGAGTAAGAACTTGAAAACGAATTTTTCATAGCTTTTAAATGGCGTGATAACAGTGACCAAACAATCCCAATCCACATTCCTAGAAGCTTCGAACATGGTGAATTCTGCATCGTAAACAAATGAAATATGAATCTGTGTATCTTCAAGTAACAGTGGCCAAGGGATGTGGACTTGTACAAATTCTAAGGGTAGCAGTGAATGATCAATTGTCATCGAGAAAAGGTTATCATAACTAACATTGTAATCAGCATTTGCATGTATTACAGTGTTGTCTGATTCAAATCTAAATGAAGTAAGAAAATCAGGATCAGTTGATAAATGATACTCTAAAGAAAAAAGATGCTGAATACTAAAATATACTTTGAGTGAATTATACCAGTTATCTCCAATTCTAATATATAGATTCAACTCATTATATATTGCTAGAAAGCCTTGAACATCGACGCGAACTTGCTTGGATCCATAATTTTCGTACTGTGCCGTCAATACTGTGTTCATTTCGGGAACAATGCTTGTCACAGTAAAATTTAAACTAGTTACATATACACTACTGTCAAAGTCTAAAACTGCTTTGAATATTTCATTCATATTGTGTGTCATATTTAAATGGGCTTTAAGACTTTCTATTCCATCATTCTGGAATCTTCCCTCTACAAGAATCTCACCATCACCCAGACTGAGCTTACCCTTAATATCCATGTTGGATGGCGTCAAGTCCTTTCCAAGGCTGCCCATGAATTCCATGTTCCTATAGGGAATCCATGAAGAACTGGCTTTTGCAGATGCCTCATGAATATCTGGATCAATTTTGAGGTTAAAATTATGCTTCTCTCCATAGATTTTTAGAGTTGCATCCAAAACAATATTCATAATCCAGTGGACATTAACATCGACAGAATAGTCTCCAATCCAGTCTGATCTAATTTTTGTGTTATAAATGAGTTCTTTCAAATTGTCATTGTACCGCAGTTCCCCTTCCATATCAATTTGTTTGGTTCCGTGTGAAAATTCAGAGTCAAATGTAAAGTGCAGCTCATCTAAAACGACAAACTTCAGGTTAAACTTAGCAGGATCTTCACCCAAGTATGGTGAATTGAGCTCTGCCGTAAGTAAGATATTTTCAGCACCTGAAGTTTCAGGCCACATGATGGCCAGCTCATGTTTAGTGGAAGGCCCCGGGTAAGAGAATACCATGGTAAAGGAATCTTCAGTTACCTCAGTGGAGAAATCTGCTGTCCATTCTGGGAATTCAATCCTCAAATTTCTGTTGGATGCCATATCAACAGGGTTATCATTCACATATGAGACTATGTACTTCTGCTCTCCAACAAACAGAGACAGAACAGCTTTCCCTTTTTCAACCAGAATATTCCTCATGGGTATAATGGTGTCAAGTTTATATGAGCCATCAATGTAACTGCTGGTAAGTACAGTACCAAAGACAAAACTTTCTTTTTGCATGGTATAAGATATATTCATTACATGACTAGAGACATTCATGTTTCTGAAATCAGTAGTTACGATGCTTGAAACATTCACAAATTCACCATAATCAACACTTATATTTACAGTCACTACTTCTAAATTAAAGTCTGTTGATTCAAATCTGAGGCTCATGACATCATTAACATTTGGGTTGATGGTTGTCTCAATCTGACTTCCAAAGTATACAATGACAAACTTCCAAGTATCTGACACATCTATACCAAGAGACATAATCTTTTCATCTCCATCAATATCAAACATTACCATGAGTGACGACGTTTGCAAGGCATAATTAAGCGTAATGTTATATGGTGTGGTTCCTTTTGGGTATGTCATAGTTGAATACGTATCTAGTTTTGTCCAATCTTGCTTAGCCTCTAAGTTCCACTGAAAATCATATAAGAAGGGAATGTCTAAGATAAATTTAATTGCACCTTCAGAGTAACTTCCCTTGAAACGGCTCATCACATCGTTAATCAATACTTCAAGGGAGATTCCCTGGGGCCCCAACTGGAAATTTGTCCTAAACAATTTTAGGATATCATATATGGTCTCTACAACAACCCCAAATTCCAGATTATTGCCTTTGTTGATGTACTCAAGTCTAACAGATGCTACCTCAGTTTGACCATTATTATATTTCCCAACAATCTGAGCTTCCTTGGGAGTCATATCAGAGGTCATTTCTACCTTACTGCCATCCCACTGGAGTGTCACTTTAGATGACACTTCCTCACTCTCGGTCCTTAAAGAAGCAATGAAAATAACTTCCCTCAAGGGTGTCCAAGGAGTATTCAGCTTGACCTTTAAGTTCCACATCTCTGCTTGGATTTTCAAAGTGATAACTTTCTCTTCAGGCCAGTTAAATGTGATCTCAGAATCAAGTTCCCCATTTTTTAGTTTTACGGAGCTCATTAAAGACAAACTTTCATAACCTTCCAGGGGGGTCTTGATGTCCACTTTTAGTGAGAATGGTAGAGAGAAAGAGTACTCACGTATGGACAACTTCCATTCATCTCCATTCAGATCAGTAGTAATCTCAAAGTACTTTGGCTTCAGCAAGAGTTTAGAGTCAAGTTTTTCAACTATTGGGAAAGTTGTCTGTACCTCATTCTTTAACAAAAAGTCATCACTCTTATACTTCAGTGAACCTGAGACCTCAATTTTTTCTGACCATTCACAAGACAGTTCGTAATTTACCTCCAGGGAATTTTGCTTGCGCTTTTGGCCAACTTCAAAGCTCAGATGCAGTTTTGGTAGAATTTCATACGGAGTCGTGAGGTCCAATGCAATCTTAATTGCATTTTTCTGTCGCAGTCCTGAGAGAGACAATTCTATTTTGCCGCCCCAATCTAGGCTGATCTTTGCTATTTCTTTCACTGCTTTCATCTTACCTCTTACAAAGTCAGTTAAATCGAACATAGCCTCAATGGTAATTGGATTATCAACATCCTCAGAAGATTCAAATATGATAGATATCAGTAACTTTCTATTATCAACATTCATCTTTCCAGTCAATGTGTATTTCCTCTCACCAAAAGCAAGAATCATGCTTACATTTTGACCTAACGTATGAGTTATCTGTACGCTCACTGGCCGGTTATCCGAGATTTTCAACAGAAAGTTAATTTCAAGGGCATTACTTGGACTTGGATGAATGACTTTGACATTTAAATATTGTCCTTTGTCCCATGTAAAGAAGACTTCTGCTTTGTAGTAATCAAAAATCATTTCTAGTATTTTTAAACTTCCATACTTTAGTTCACATTCCAGGTGATATTCATCAAATTCAAAATGAAATTCCAAAACTTTATATTCATTCAGCTGCTCTTGGAATTTAATTTCATAAGCATTTTCAGTACTAGTAAACTCAAATATCAATAATCCCGAAGTTTTCAGAGGTTCAAAAGATCCCTCAATACTAAATGCCACTTTCTCCTTGCTGAACAAAAATGATGATTTGATGTTATAGATCTGCATTTTTTCCTTGGTTAACACACTTGTAAATGTGAATGCAGAGGGTAACCAAGAGTATCCTATGTGGACTTTGATGTTCTTCCATCCCTCAAATGGGGTTGAAACAAAAATGTCTAATTTCACCAGTCTGCTTGTTTGTTCCAGGGCCATTTTGACTTTAATTTCTTGTTGTTTGTACTCTAACATGGCCCAGTAAGTGACCCGAGTCTTTTCAGTAGACCAGGTAAATTCAGCTCTCCCTGGACTGAAGAAGGGAGAAACAGCTGTTGCCTCTATTATGCCATTACTCCAATCCATTTTGGCTTTGCCATTGACTTCTAAATTTGTTTCCTCAATTTTTGCCTTGAACTTAACAACATTTTGAGATTTATCAGAAAATTTGTACTTGAGATCGACTTTGAAGACTGAGATTCCTGGCACTGGGATGTTTCCAGTCAAGCCAACTGTGCCCTCGTTGTTCTGGAAATTAGTTGTGAAGTCAACCTGGAATGTGTCAAAGCCATGTTTGTAGGTAGCTGACACTTTAAGAGGGTTGGCATGGTATTGTGCGCGGAGCGTATGGGTCAGTGTGAATGGGGAATCAAAGAGCAGGTCTAGTTTTATACCTCTCCAGGGCGCAGAACTACCTCGAGGATGATTATCAAAGCCCGAAGAAAGAAATATTATTCCCTTTTGTTTCATGTCAAATTTAAATTGTAAGGAATATATGCTGTCTTTCTGATGTATATCCCAGTATCCATTAATCAACTCATACTCCGGAAAGTTGGTTTGAATTTTGACATTTCCAGATAATGCAGATATTTGGTCTCCCGTGAAATCCCATCTGGTTGAGACTTTCCACTCATCAAACTGGCCATTCAGGTAGAACTGGTTATTGTATTCATAGTTAAGGTCATAAACTCTCTTTACAGGTTCTTCTGCTTCAGGTAGAATCATGAAGGTTACATTCCCATATTTGAAATTTTCTCCAATTATCAGTGCGGTCGCGAAGTCATAATTTGTTTTTTGAGCTGTAATACGGAACTCTCCCCTCTGTGAGAAATCGAGTGGAATATCTACACTGACTATGTGCTCACCAAGGCCAAGCAGAGTCAGATAAGAATGGACTTCGAATGCAAACAGAACATCAGAGTTTTGCCAGTTTGTGTCCAGTCCTAAGCATCCTCTGGTGCCGTTTACATAAAGTGCTGCCTTGCCATCAAAGTCATACTCTATGAAAGCTGTGAAGTTACTTACGGTCTTCGCTGGTGTAATGAAATTAAGTTCTGTTTTTTGCTGCTTCCAGTTTTCTTGGTGACTATGTTTCACGCCCAGTCCATAATATTCTCCAGCTGTCACACCACTGACCATGGCCACATATTTTCTTTCCGACACTTCAGAAAGAGGAAGACTGAAATCTACTTCAAACATTTCCAGGATTTCGAAGGGCATATGGAAAGTAATGCCTCCCATGAAACCATCTTCAGTTGCTGAAACTGAGCTTGTAAAGTTGTATTTCATGTCGTCTTGGCTGCTATAAATGTTCAGAGTATTACCATTAATTTTATTCTCAAAATGGGCATCAAAGTGATACTTCTGGAATGAATGAAGACTTGATGACATATCAAATGTTAATCTTAATCCCTGGTCATTCGTCTGAAGCTGAAGCTTGCCATCTGCATCACCATTTGATGTTGTTAGTCTGAGATGTCCCATTTTGACTTCATTCCTGAAATCATAGCCGACTTCGAGATTTGCCTGGCCAAATGCAGAGTCTGTGGAGAAAAGAATCTCTATATCACCGAAGGTTTCTTTGAAGCTAGCTTCCCCAGTCAGTTTTCCCGCAAGTGATTGTCCAAATAAACTGTAATCATAAGAAGCTTCCAGAATTATCTGAGTTGGCTGAATATCATACTCTGCCTTTAGTTCAAGCTTCTGCTCTTCCAGAACTTTGAAGGTAATTTCAGACCTCAAGAAGGAGAAATTGCTGTTGAACAGAAAATATGTGGTGTCTGTGGAGATTTCGTACACATGTAATTTCAATCCAAATTCATCTTCTTTAAATAACCAAGAAAATTCTAAGCCCAGTGAATATTCCGGGTAAAACTCACCCTTTATCACGACATCATATTCGCCCACTGCAATTTTACATTCTCCTTCTATTGTGAAGAAGAGGCCAATACCTTGTATATAACAGTCTGAAAACACTGTGATAAGATTGTCCTTCACCTCATATTTCATGTTGAATTCAAAAATGGCAGTGGCGGAACAGTTTTCGAGTATGTTAATATTCACACTCGCATGCAGAAACAGTTGGTCAAGTTTCCCATCAAAGTTGAAACAGAACTTAGGGACTTTCATTTTTATGACTACCCTGTAGGATTCATCTGTCATGATATTTACTGTCAGATCTATGTTTTCCCAGTCTTCAATTGGCATTTCAATTCGAATGTAAGACTCTTCTAAACTGGCCTTCATGTGTGATTTGATAAAGTATCCATCATCATTCACATTTATCTTTAAATCTGCTTTAAATTCTTCATCTGTGAAGAAGAACTCGAAGTTGGCTTCAAACTTAAACTCAAGAAAGATTGTATTTTCTGCAACCAATACAGCCCTCCCAGAATTACCTGAACCACGAGCCTCATGCCGAAGGTTGGAAATAAATTTCTGTTGATTTAGCATGAAATTTGCATTGACTTCAAAGCCACGACTCTCTGTGATGAGGATATCGCCAGATACTTCTTTAATGGCTTCAATATCAGAATTCATGGTGAGTGTTATTTGTTTTCTAGGGTTGTTGACATCCCAGGTAATTTTGCCTTCTGCAGCTATAAAAGTCGATCCATCATCAGCAACTCTTTGACTGTTAAAGACCAAATTATCACCATTAAGGCTGGCAGCCACCTCGTACTTGTTATCATCTCCTGGAATAACATAGCCCTTGATGTCTTTTCCGGTGTCGTTGTAGGACATAAACATAGCCCACTGAGGTATATTATTACCAAGTACAAGAGTAACATTCGTCTGATAACTGCCGTATTGGTGAATCCCAAACATGAAATTTACTTCCTTTTGGTCAAGGAGATGGTCATTAAAATCCATGCCATATGCCATCTTGTACTTGAGATGGGGCAGATCATTTAAAGCAAGAGAACCACTCATATTTAAATTGTAAGTCACTGTATTGGCATACAGTTTGATGTCAAATCCTACATCCCACTTATTGTAATCAAGATTGACGTTAGTTTCAACATGAAGCCCATAATTTTCAAAACCTGCAAAGTCTGAAAGAAATTTTACAGATCCTAAGAAGGTAAAGTCTTCGACTTGAGACAAGTCCATGGTCACATTCACCAATCCAGTCTGCATTTGAGCTCCTGGATCTGCTAGTACCTGGAAGGTGAGCTGTACATCAAGTATGGGATACAAAGAAGTAGTCGTAGTATTGACAATGAGAACATCTTCATCTTGTATAGCTAGTGTAAAGTCAAAGTCTGGTATCTCACTGACTCCTTCAGTGTATTCAAGATCGGCCTGGTATTTGTGGCCAGGTATATCCACCAGTGTCTTGAAGATAACACCATTAAAGATGGCAGACTTTGCCATTAGAGAGGAATCTCCCCACAGAGCTTCCAAATTACCATTGTATTGTGAGTCAAACATTAAGTTGGTTTTAAAGTTAATCCCTTGTTCTGGAGCTCTAACTTCAGCTAGTAACAAATACTCTGAAAATTCTTGGCTAAACCACCCTTGGTTGAATGTGAGGTTACTCGTTGCTTGAATCAAAAAGTCAGAACCATAAGTCACTTCCATAGATACTAAACTGCCATAATCCATTCCATGTTCCCAAGCAATGGAACAGTTCTCAAGGTAAGATGACGACACTTCTAGCTTAAAATCAGAATGATCCCAACCAAATACTCTATTACTTCTCAGAGAGGCTCTTGAAAGGACAGAATCTCTGTGAATGCTGGTAAGTTCATAGGTAATAGAAGAATCATTGGGCACTGCTGTAACCACAGTCACTATATCATCTGTCCATGGTGAGGTGAAGTTAAGATTTGATTGGAATGTAGTAAAGTCAGCTGCAGACAGAGACAACTCAGATTTGATTTCTTCTTTGCTGGGAAGAACAACATCTAATAAACTGGACCAGTCTAATTGGTTTTGAAATTCTAATATATGACTTGCTTTAAGTAACTGGTCTCCCCAGGATCCAAATATCTTCGTTGCAAATGTGCTGGAGTTTCTGTTGTGTGAGACTGTCAGATTCAGGTTGTGATCAAGCAAGTTGCTAATAGCAATCTGCCCATCTGCCGTCTCTGGTATAAGGCTGTGATCCCACTCTGTCTCCAGAGCATAAGTGATTTCTATGTCGTTCACAGTTCCTTTTAGCTGCTGTGTGTATCCTTTACCACTATGCTTGTTGTTTAGTTCCAGTCCTATCGCTAGCTGCTCATGGGTTGCATTAAACTGAAGTAGTGTCTCTCCAGGCTTTGTGTAGTAAATCCCAAAGTCTGATCTCACAGATTGTATGCCACCTATAGCCGTAGTTAAATCTACAGAGACATGAATCAAGTCTGATTCCTGATAGTTTGTGACATTAAGTATTAGTGGTTCTGTCCAAGGAGTGTCTACCATCAGAGATCCAGACCTCTGGACTGAATCCCAACCTGACTCTCTCTGTCCTGAAAATGTCACTGCAGCTGTCTCTCCATCTGCCACTCCTATTTGGGCTTCAAATTCGAAAATGGTGTTGGTTAATTCATAGGACAGGTGAGCTTGGAAAGGTGAACTCAAGACAGGTGCTCCAACATTAATCATGAGGTCGGAAATCCCATAACCCAAAGTAGTGTTGACTTCAACCACCCAAGGATCATATGAGGCTGTGAGGTCGAGGCTGATGCCTGTCACATAATGACCACCACTGTACTTGTTGTAAAGGTGAAAGTGGGAATCACATGTCCCCCCATCTTCATAGAGGAATTTCATTTCCAACTGCGACAAATCAGCCAACTGAGCTTTCACTCGAACCTAAGGAAAAGAAATAAAAAAGAGCTGCAAAGTTTAGCCAGGTCGCGTCCTATACTCTACCATAACCATTATCAGTCCCAATCAAAGCAACACATAAAACCTCACATCTTAGTGCCAATGAGTTCCTAAGTTCAGTACAGTGCATTTTTTTTTTTTTTTTTTTTTTTTTTTTTTTTTTTTTTTTTTTTTTTTTTTTTTTTTTTTTTTTTTTTTTTTTTTTTTTTTTTTTTTTTTTTTTTTTTTTTTTTTTTTTTTTTTTTTTTTTTTTTTTTTTTTTTTTTTTTTTTTTTTTTTTTTTTTTTTTTTTTTTTTTTTTTTTTTTTTTTTTTTTTTTTTTTTTTTTTTTTTTTTTTTTTTTTTTTTTTTTTTTTTTTTTTTTTTTTTTTTTTTTTTTTTTTTTTTTTTTTTTTTTTTTTTTTTTTTTTTTTTTTTTTTTTTTTTTTTTTTTTTTTTTTTTTTTTTTTTTTTTTTTTTTTTTTTTTTTTTTTTTTTTTTTTTTTTTTTTTTTTTTTTTTTTTTTTTTTTTTTTTTTTTTTTTTTTTTTTTTTTTTTTTTTTTTTTTTTTTTTTTTTTTTTTTTTTTTTTTTTTTTTTTTTTTTTTTTTTTTTTTTTTTTTTTTTTTTTTTTTTTTTTTTTTTTTTTTTTTTTTTTTTTTTTTTTTTTTTTTTTTTTTTTTTTTTTTTTTTTTTTTTTTTTTTTTTTTTTTTTTTTTTTTTTTTTTTTTTTTTTTTTTTTTTTTTTTTTTTTTTTTTTTTTTTTTTTTTTTTTTTTTTTTTTTTTTTTTTTTTTTTTTTTTTTTTTTTTTTTTTTTTTTTTTTTTTTTTTTTTTTTTTTTTTTTTTTTTTTTTTTTTTTTTTTTTTTTTTTTTTTTTTTTTTTTTTTTTTTTTTTTTTTTTTTTTTTTTTTTTTTTTTTTTTTTTTTTTTTTTTTTTTTTTTTTTTTTTTTTTTTTTTTTTTTTTTTTTTTTTTTTTTTTTTTTTTTTTTTTTTTTTTTTTTTTTTTTTTTTTTTTTTTTTTTTTTTTTTTTTTTTTTTTTTTTTTTTTTTTTTTTTTTTTTTTTTTTTTTTTTTTTTTTTTTTTTTTTTTTTTTTTTTTTTTTTTTTTTTTTTTTTTTTTTTTTTTTTTTTTTTTTTTTTTTTTTTTTTTTTTTTTTTTTTTTTTTTTTTTTTTTTTTTTTTTTTTTTTTTTTTTTTTTTTTTTTTTTTTTTTTTTTTTTTTTTTTTTTTTTTTTTTTTTTTTTTTTTTTTTTTTTTTTTTTTTTTTTTTTTTTTTTTTTTTTTTTTTTTTTTTTTTTTTTTTTTTTTTTTTTTTTTTTTTTTTTTTTTTTTTTTTTTTTTTTTTTTTTTTTTTTTTTTTTTTTTTTTTTTTTTTTTTTTTTTTTTTTTTTTTTTTTTTTTTTTTTTTTTTTTTTTTTTTTTTTTTTTTTTTTTTTTTTTTTTTTTTTTTTTTTTTTTTTTTTTTTTTTTTTTTTTTTTTTTTTTTTTTTTTTTTTTTTTTTTTTTTTTTTTTTTTTTTTTTTTTTTTTTTTTTTTTTTTTTTTTTTTTTTTTTTTTTTTTTTTTTTTTTTTTTTTTTTTTTTTTTTTTTTTTTTTTTTTTTTTTTTTTTTTTTTTTTTTTTTTTTTTTTTTTTTTTTTTTTTTTTTTTTTTTTTTTTTTTTTTTTTTTTTTTTTTTTTTTTTTTTTTTTTTTTTTTTTTTTTTTTTTTTTTTTTTTTTTTTTTTTTTTTTTTTTTTTTTTTTTTTTTTTTTTTTTTTTTTTTTTTTTTTTTTTTTTTTTTTTTTTTTTTTTTTTTTTTTTTTTTTTTTTTTTTTTTTTTTTTTTTTTTTTTTTTTTTTTTTTTTTTTTTTTTTTTTTTTTTTTTTTTTTTTTTTTTTTTTTTTTTTTTTTTTTTTTTTTTTTTTTTTTTTTTTTTTTTTTTTTTTTTTTTTTTTTTTTTTTTTTTTTTTTTTTTTTTTTTTTTTTTTTTTTTTTTTTTTTTTTTTTTTTTTTTTTTTTTTTTTTTTTTTTTTTTTTTTTTTTTTTTTTTTTTTTTTTTTTTTTTTTTTTTTTTTTTTTTTTTTTTTTTTTTTTTTTTTTTTTTTTTTTTTTTTTTTTTTTTTTTTTTTTTTTTTTTTTTTTTTTTTTTTTTTTTTTTTTTTTTTTTTTTTTTTTTTTTTTTTTTTTTTTTTTTTTTTTTTTTTTTTTTTTTTTTTTTTTTTTTTTTTTTTTTTTTTTTTTTTTTTTTTTTTTTTTTTTTTTTTTTTTTTTTTTTTTTTTTTTTTTTTTTTTTTTTTTTTTTTTTTTTTTTTTTTTTTTTTTTTTTTTTTTTTTTTTTTTTTTTTTTTTTTTTTTTTTTTTTTTTTTTTTTTTTTTTTTTTTTTTTTTTTTTTTTTTTTTTTTTTTTTTTTTTTTTTTTTTTTTTTTTTTTTTTTTTTTTTTTTTTTTTTTTTTTTTTTTTTTTTTTTTTTTTTTTTTTTTTTTTTTTTTTTTTTTTTTTTTTTTTTTTTTTTTTTTTTTTTTTTTTTTTTTTTTTTTTTTTTTTTTTTTTTTTTTTTTTTTTTTTTTTTTTTTTTTTTTTTTTTTTTTTTTTTTTTTTTTTTTTTTTTTTTTTTTTTTTTTTTTTTTTTTTTTTTTTTTTTTTTTTTTTTTTTTTTTTTTTTTTTTTTTTTTTTTTTTTTTTTTTTTTTTTTTTTTTCATCATGTGGAAGAGGTTAGCATGACAATCGGCAGAAGTAGTATAGGCCTATATGGGTCCAAACATATCTTTATTTGAATTGCTTGTGCTTTAAGTGATCCAAAAGAATAATAATACTTATAGTTGGTATCTCTGATTACACGTCTCTTGGTAAAGCTGCAACAAATTTCCATTATGCTGCATAATCTAATCATTAAGTCGATGACTAGCGAAACTAATTACATCTGGCTTTCTCACTCATGCGACTCTGAAAGACACACCGAATGTACTCCATCTTACCTTCCGACAACGGCAATGAAGTGTAAGAGTTTGTCGGTGCCAGACGTAAGGTAAAGCTGGAAGTCGGTTTGTTCCGGAGTGTACTTTCTCTGAACTCCCGCCTTAAAAGAAGAGAAAAGAGATCCACAAAGATGTAGTTAAAAAATATATATATATTATTTATTCATTATTATTACTTACCAATCAAGACATACAACTAGATTAAATAGTCTACTGTCCGGCAGTTTGTAATTTTGGAAATGCCTTTTCAGTTTGCGGGCAGTCTGTAGTTTGTTTGTCTGACCTCACTTTGTCAAAATAAACAAGAACAACAACAAAAAAAACATTTTATTTATCATTTATTTCTTAATCATCTAATTCTGGTTATTCTATTCAATAAATATAACTAACACATTACCTGGAATTCCGGCTCTGAGCTTGTCTTGTCGCTGCTCAGCAGGACAGAGAAGAGCAGATCGGGAAACGTCTGGAAGATTGGATACCTTATAATAAACGATTGGAATGCTTTCAAAGAAGGTATGGCGGACTGGTTCGAGAAGGTTCGATTTTCTACTGATTTATAGGTGTCTGCAGAATCAGATTCGCATTTAAATGGATGATAGATTCGTTATAGATGTTACTGCTGCCATTACTTTCGCTATTTATTATTGCAATTCATGTTATAATTATCCCTATCATCCAATATCATTATTATCACCAACAAATTCATCATCATCATAACCGATTCATAAGCATCACAATCGCTTTCACCTTTACCGTTTTTCTTTTTCTTTTTTTTTTCATTCCTTTAAAATGAAAAAAGGAATTAAAAGGGTAAACATTCTGTATATGATATTAATGTTGTCTGATGAATGTGACAGTAATTATTACAAATAATAGTTCGAACAAAAAAAAAATATTCTGATGATGATAATGATAATAATAATAATTATTATTAGTAGTAGTAGTAGTCGTAGTAGTAGTAGTACTATTATTATCATAATTCTTTTTTATAACAATAGTAATGCTAACAATCACAAAACTAACCATCATAACAACAACAACATTGAGAATAATAGCACCAAATAATAGCAACAACAATAAAAAAATATTGCATAAGAAAATTAAGCTCGTCTCCCTCACTAACCTCCGCCTTGAGCTCTACCACTTGAGCGTCGCCGAGAGTGACCCGGATGGACTTGGAGTGCGGAAGCCAGGTCACGTTGTGGGAAATGCTCGATGACCAATCCCGCCACTTGACCTGAGGATGACCTCGCATTTGAGTCTTTGTGACGAAAGGAGGAGTTGGCGAGAGGGAAGAGATAAGGGAAGAGGAGATAGGGTTGGAATGTACGGATGGGGGGGAAGAGGAGGAGAAGATGAAGATAAATAATATGAGGTACAGAACAAATAGGAAAGTGGAAGAAAAAAGACTGAAGAAAACGGGATAATGCAGTGCTGGGCCTATTATGAAACTGCATTTTTTTATAAACCCAAGAACATGCGTTTATGATCGCGCGCGCGCACACACACACACACACACACACACACACACACACACACACACACACACACACACACACACACACGCACGCACGCACACACACACACACACACACAAACACACACACACACACACGCACACACACACACACACGCACGCACGCCCCCTCCCCCTAAACACACACACGCCTTCCCTCCCACAAACAGACGCCCTCCCCCTCCCATCCTCCCTCCCCCCTCCCCAACCGCTAACCCACAGTGACCTTACCCTCACGTCCCCCACGAAGACCGTCCAAGAGAGGTCAGACGAGGCGCTCAAGGTCAACCCCGAGGAGGTCATGGGGTCATTGCCCCCGAGTGCCTCCA